GTCCAGCTGTCGTCGTCCAGCTGTCTTCGTCCAGCTGTCTTCGTCCAACGTTACGCAGCTCCTTATGGACACGTGACGTGCACACCATGTCCATGATAGGCCTTTAATTAGTTTGTTTTAAAATAATTATTTTCGAGATCCACAGTTTAGGTTGTCTGCAGGACCTGGTCTGGCTTCAGGACCCCCCAAATGTCAAGCCGTGACCCAATTCAATCAACGTTTTCAACTTCCCAAAACCATTGAAGAAACATCTGTTTCAGTTCAGCCCTGGGAGCTAATGAACCAGCACATGGCAGCCAAAGGAACAGCTCTCCAGCGCCTCGTCCTCTGGTTTTATTTCAAACGAAAATGTTTCGGTAATTTCAGCCTTTTTTTACCGAACTCAGCAGCTTTGAACATGAACATGAAGCAAACGTCTCCAACTCCTGAAACATTTAAAAAAGACTCGTGTTGCTTCAAAACCTCTTACAAACGGGTTGGATGTTTTGGAGAAAGAGTTTGAGCTGTTTTTAAGTGCGTGAAATGTTCAGAACAAGACGTTCCCCTAAAACTCCACGTTTTGTTGCTGCAGGACGTTTACAGAAGCTCCATGCCGGCCTCCAGCTTCCAGCAGCAAAAACTGCGAGTGTGTGAGGTGTGCTCAGCCTACCTGGGACTCCACGACAACGATCGGCGGCTGGCGGACCACTTCGGGGGCAAGCTTCACATCGGTTTTATCGAAATCCGAGAAAAGCTTGACAAGCTCAGGGTGAGTGTTCATTCATTCATTCAACCTTTATTTCTACAGGTTAGTCCCATTGAGCCCCGGGGACGCATTTAAAGAGAGACCTGGTTTAACAAAGACTGATGACGACGGTGGTTCAGTCGTGGTTCAGACGTGGTTCAGACGTGGTTCAGACGTGGTTCAGTCGTGGTTCAGTCGTGGTTCAGACGTGGTTCAGTCGTGGTGAATTCTAATCGAGATGAACCGAAGTTTGTAAAAAGTTACAACTTATTGTAAATGCTGCTGTGTTCATTTGACTTGGTTCCACTGATGCGTCTTGTTCTGTTTTCCAGAAAGCCGTCACAGAGAAACAAGAGCGAATGCGTCTGAAAAGACGGGAGGAGCGGGAAAGAGAAGAAGAAAGGGAGCGACAGTGGGAGATGGAGCGGGAGAGGGAGCGGGAGCGGGAACGACAGCGAGAGTGGGAGAGAGAGCGAGAGAAGAGGAGGTAAGAATCACCTGAACACTGAAAAATAATCTGGATTTTATGTTTATTTCTGTACTTTGGTTGTTGCAGGTCCAGATCTAGAAGCGGAGAGCGGTACAGGTACGTCACACGTGTGCTCGTTGTTGTGCGACATGGGATTTGGTCAGTCCGTAGCCACAAAAGTTAGTATTTTGTTTACTTCGTTTAATAAAAGAACATCCATGTTTATTTTAGAGAAGAGGTTTAACATCACCCAAACATCAAACCAATATTCACGAGAATGACCGTCGGTGGTTCTGCATCAACTTTGTCTAAAATGTCGTGGTTTGCAGCTGAGTGCCCTGTGTGTTGTTAGCATGTTGTTAGCATCTACTGAATACGCATCAGTCATGTCGGACCATCATGCTTTGCAGCGTGCCGTCGGCAGCCGTCCCGTTGATGCTAACATCTTTAGCATGTGCTCATTTGTTTAGAATGCAGTAACGTGACGTGTTGAGCTTCTGTTCAGCAGCAGGACCTCATGAGGTTTGACTCAAATGTCCTGAAACCATGTTGTTAGTGTCCACACACTGTAAAGAATCTTTGACGCGTCAAAAAGTTTCCTGAAGGAATTTTAAAGCCCTTTACACTCGTCTGTAATTTATCATTTCAAACCAGTATATTTCCTGACAGAATGGAGACGGCTCCAGTTTGACCACAAACGTCGCGTCACAAACTGCAGGCCTGTCTTTACGACCGAGTTTTCACAAATAAACAACTGTTAGAAAATCTAAAAAAGTTAAATCTGGTCCTCTGGACATTCAAAAAAACAAAACAACAAAAAAATGTAGAAACGTTTCGTCTCTCATCCAAGAGAGTTTTGTTTTTTTCAATGTCCAGAGGACCAGATTTAACTTTTTTAGATTTTTCTACCTGGATTATTGAGCATGCATCAGAACTGTTAGAAAACTTTATAGACCGATATAAAATACTTGGAGTCAAAAGTGGTTTACATCAAATAGATCAACATTGTTCAAGTTTTTTTGTCATTCTCATCACATGAAGTGGAATGAAATTATCCTCTCACGGTCCCAGTTCCACTCAAAATATGAGAAGTATAAAAGAACCTGCAGCGTTTCCCCTGGATAACTTACCAAGGAGGACACGTCTGAGCTGTGTGCTGTTTGTACAAGCTGGGGGGTGCAAGTGGGTCAGTAGGCAGGGCTCTCTGTTTTGTTGACTGGGCGGGGCGCCTTGCTTGTAAAATGGTCACTTCACCACTTGTTCTTGCTGAGGTCGAACACTGCTCCTCTCCCTCTCCGCTTTGCTGCTCTGTCTGTCTGTGAAACTGCTCCTGAACCTCTCTTGCATCTTCTGAACCATAATTATGGACTTGTTTTGATCAGTTGGTCCCTCAACACATTTGATAAAATTTCTTCGAAGAGAAAACAGGCTTTAGGCGAACCAATTTGCCCTGTTGGCACGCAGCTGGATATCTCATCGACTGGAAGACTTGATGATGTGTCTATCTCTGCTGCCATCTGTGGATTTTAAGGACGCACATTTAATTGGATTTATGATGTCTGGTTCCTGCTTTTTGGATTCGGCTGGTTTTATCTACAATCAAGGAAGTCGTCGGCAGCAAATTTTGGACCTGATCACGCTGCTTGTCTTTATGATGGCTTGGTTCGTGTCTCGAGTACCCAGACTCAAATGCATTGGGCTGAATGGATCAGATCTCAGGGATTTTACTCAGTCATGTTCCATCGGTGTGGCCATGTTAATTTGGACATTTCAGAACTGAGTGGACCAACACAGACTCAAGGTAGATGTCATTAAGTTCTGCCTGTCCCCAAAACAACTGTATTTATCTGAATTTGGCTCCTTGGCTGGTCTTGAAGGTCATCTTATCTGAATTCACCTGGAGAACATATGATCTGACACTCACCACCCCCTCCCTGAGGAATTTCCAACTGATCCACAAAGATGAAACCAGCTGAATAAACTTTGTGTCATCATTTCAGGACTCTTGGATTCTCAGACGTTATTCTTGGCCATTCCTCGACATCCCTCGAGAATCTTGATGGATCTCACCGGAGGACACTGGCTGATTATTCCATCTTTATCAGAACTCTTACAGTGACCTCGAGAGCGTCTATGAACATGCTCACCGCTCTCGTCCTCTCCCCCTCTGCAGAATGTCTACGTCACCATGTGCTTGTTTGTGCGAGGTGTTTTTTTAATATCAGACTTTTTCTTCTCAGCCAAGAAGAAAAAGTCTGACAGGAATTTTTTCGCCTCCAGCTCCTACACGTGTCCAGTTTCACTACTTTTTGTCTAAACGGGTCTCACCTGTAAATGAGTCTTCTAGGCTCTGTGTGACTTATCCGTCTAAATAAAGTTGAATGAATGGTCGGGGAAACGCTGCAGTATACAAGGATCTAAGATGTACGCTAAACACTAATAATGTAAAATAATAGATTATCTTAAACAACTGCCTGAACAGGAGTCTGTAGTGAACGGATGGGTATGAATGAACACAGCAGCATGAGATCAGCAGCATGGATAATCAGCAGCACAGATCAGTCACATATCACAAGCTAAAGTGGCATTACAGAGATTATTCTGGTTGGGGATTTATGAGTCTTAACAGGTTCAGGGTAGAAGCTGTTCCTCAGTCTAGTGCAGGGCTGTTCAACTGGCGGCTCAGGGGCCAAATCAGGCCCACAGGTGAACTCAGTTCTGTCCACCAATGGGTTCATTTTAACATAAAACTTGATTTTAGCCCATAAAACAAACTTGGTGACTAACTGCTGGATGTCCGACCCCTGAGCAAGTTCTTTGGATAGTCCTGGTCCACCGATACGTCCCCAAACGTCTCTATCTGAAGTATCAGCCCCATCGATAGATTGGTCGGGCTCTAGTTTCAATCCGAGTGTTAAAATCTGTAAAATCAGTTCAGTTTTATTCTGTTGGCGACTCTGACGGGCTCTGAACAAAAACTTTGTCCAGCGGATGTTTTGTCCCTGGTGGAGACGCCATTTTGTCTCCGCTGGTTGCAGCTTCTGTTCTGTTGGCTTCAAACTCATTTCGTTACCTGGAGAACGCATGAACACGTTTTAAAGCCAGTCTTATGAAAGACGAACTCTGATTAAAATATATTCCTTACAATAGCTCTGCATCGTTTTCTTCTTCTTTAAAATGTTTTTCAGGGATGAAGGGAGTTCGTCGTCCCATCGTTCAAGACGTCACCGCTCCTCTCGTCCCAGAGAAGACGGCGCCGATCGGGACAGGGAGCGAGAGAAGAGGCATCGACACAAAGACCGACGTCGCTCGCGCTCCCACTCTCACAGGCACAAAAAGAAGAGGTGTGCACGTTTGTCCTCCGTCGTGTTCTTACCGAGCATCATTTCACCAAACGCTTCCTGCTTCATTCAACTTGTTTACATGAATTCAAAACTACTTTGATTTATTTTCTCCACAGGCAGGAAACAGACACACGGCACCATTTTTACAAATTAAAAGCTCCTCCTCAAATCTAGTTATTGTCTGAGTAAAGATAAGTTACAGCTGAATGAGATCGTACGATGAAATAACGTATTGGGAAGTTGTACCAGATGGCGGTACGTGAAAAACATTTTATATTTGCTGTCAAAGTTCATTTAGAGCTGCTGGAAAGTACTCGCGTGCTTCTACGTGTGAACGTTGTAACAAACCTCAGACGGGATTCAATCGATGATTTCATCAGGATTCAGTCGATGATTTTATCAGGATTCAGTCGATGATTTCATCCAGTCCAACACGCAAACACTCCGTTATGACACAGTGAAAAGAGTTAGTTACAAGTTTTTACAAACTTGTTTAAAATTTTAAATATAACGTGTTCCTAAGTATCCACAGCCATGAAACTTAAAACTGAGCTCCTGTGGGTCCTGGTTCCATTGATCATCTTGTTTCCATTGATCACCTGGTTCCATTGATCACTTGGTTCCATTGATCACCTGGTTCCATTGATCACTTGGTTCCATTGATCAC